ACCGTGTTTTATATTTGATAATAATCAATAGAAAGGCCTATCACCGTGAGTTGTGTGAGCTTAATTGTGTTCCCTTGGCTATACCACCGTGTTTTATATCAGATGATAATTACTAGAAAGGTCTATCACCGTGGGTTGTGTTGGCTTTACTGTTTACCCTTGGCTATTCCACCGTGTTATATATCAGATAAGAAACACTAGAAAGGTCTATTACCGTGGGTTGTGTTGGCCTTGGCTATACAACCGTCCATGATAGTCGCTTGGATTGCATTGGGTTCACCACCCCACGGTGACAGGCATTTATAAGGGCTCTTTTTGCAAGTTCATCCAAGGTGAAAGCCTCGGGGAATGCAGTGAAGCTCACACAACTAACGGTTACAGGCCTTTTAGAGAGTCCGTATCGCAAGGTCGCCCGCAGTGAAATCCTCAGGGAATGCAATGAAGCTCACATAACCCACGTTTAGAGTCCTTTTGGAGGGTTGTGAATGCAAGTTCAGCCACGATGCTAGCCTCGGGGAATGCAGTGAATGTCACACAACACACGATGATTGGCTTTTTAGAGAATTCTTATCGCAAGTTCACCCGCGGTGATAGCCTCGGGGAATGTTATGAAGCTCACACAACCCACAGTGAAATGCCTTTCCTTGGGCATTACAGTGTTCCCTTCGCTATACCACCGTGTATTATATCAGATAAGAATCACTAGAAAGGCCTATCACCGTGGGTTGTGTGGGCATTACAGTGTTCCCTTCGCTATACCATCGTGTATTATATCAGATGAGAATCACTATAAAGGCCTATCACCGTGGGTTGTGTGGGCATTACAGTGTTCCCTTGACTATACCACCGTGTTTAATAACAGATGAGAATCACTAGAAAGGCCTATCACCGTGGGTTGTGTGAGCTTTACTGTGTTCCCTTGGCTATACCACCGTGTTTTATATCAGATAAGAATCACTAGAAAGGCCTATCACCGTGGGTTGTGTGAGCTTTACTGTGTTCCCTTGGCTATACCACCGTGTTTTATATCAGATAAGAATCACTAGAAAGGCCTATCACCGTGGGTTGTGTGAGCTTTACTGTGTTCCCTTGGCTATACCACCGTGTTTTATATCAGATAAGAATCACTAGAAAGGCCTATCACCGTGGGTTGTGTGAGCTTTACTGTGTTCCCTTGGCTATACCACCGTGTTTTATATCAGATAAGAATCACTAGAAAGGCCTATCACCGTGGGTTGTGTGAGCTTTACTGTTTCCCTTGGCTATAGCACCGTGTTTTATATTTGATAATAATCAATAGAAAGGCCTATCACCGTGAGTTGTGTGAGCTTAATTGTGTTCCCATGGCTATACCACCGTGTTTTATATCAGATGATAATTACTAGAAAGGTCTATCACCGTGGGTTGTGTTGGCTTTACTGTTTACCCTTGGCTATTGCCACCGTGTTATATATCAGATAAGAAACACTAGAAAAGGTCTATTACCGTGGGTTGTGTTGGCCTTGGCTATACAACCGTCCATGATAGTCGCTTGGATTTGCATTGGGTTCACCCACCCCACGGTGACAGGCATTTATTAAGGGCTCTTTTGCAAAGTTCATCCAAGGTGAAAGCCTCGGGAATGCAGTGAAGCTCACACAAATAAGTTACGGGCCCTTTTAGAGATGTACCCAAGGGTCCCCCAATGAAATCCTCGGGGAAATGAAATAAGCCACATAACCAGTTTAAGCCCTTTTGGAGGTTTAATAAGTTCCCAAATGTGTGGGGAATGAGTGAATTCACAAACACACGATTTTGGTTTTTAGAGATTTTATCGAAATTCCCCCGGTGATACCCTGGGGGAATTTTGAGCTCCCAACCCACATGAAATCCCTTTTAAAAGGTTTAAATCGAAAAGTTCACCACGCTGAACAGGGTGGTATTCAGTAATCACAAGGTATGGGGCCTTTTAACGTTTCTTATAAAATTTACCCGGTGATCCCTGGGGTGCGCAAAAGTCAATACCCCGTATAGGCCTTTAGACTTTCTTATCCAAGTTACCCACGTATCCCTCGGGGGAATGCAGAAAAGCTCAACACCACGGTAAAAGGCTTTAAGGATTTGATGAACTTAATTTTGGGTTTTTTTACTGTATTCCTTGTGGCTTCAAAATGCTTTTTTTAAAAGATAGGAAAAAATTAGAAAGCCTTACCTTGGTTTCGGGGGTTTTTCTGTATTTATTCAGACTGTAACCCTGCTTATTAAAAGTATCACCTGGGTTTCTTTTTTAGTGTTCTTGAGTATATCACTGTGTTTTATTTGAAAAAAAATTAAAGGGTATTTCGGTTTTTGTCTTTTTTTACTGTTTTTTTTGGGAAATGCCCAGTTTTATTTTAATAAGAAAAATAAAAAGGGAAAACGCGTGGGGTTGTTTGCTTTACTTTTTCCTTAGGACCCCCGGTTTTTTTGAAGATTAAAATTAGAGTTGTACCCGGGGATTGTCTGGTTTATTTAAATTATTTAGGGTTTACGTCTTTATTTGAGTTAACTTTTTATTTTGGTCTTCAACTTGGTTTTTGGGGCTTTATGTTTTCCCTGGGGTATCGCGGGGTTATTTTAGATAAGAAAAACTTGACCTTTTTCCCCGGGGGGAAATTGGGTTAATTTTTCCCTTGATTTTCATCGTGTTTTTTTTTTCGAGAAAAGAATTTAAAGGGGTATAAGGGGGTTTTTGTTTTTTTTTTCCCTATGTCAAAAACCCTGCTTTATTTAAATAAGAATATAACTGGCTGCATTTGGGGGTTTGTCTAGCTTCACTGTTTTTCTTGAACTATCCAATTTTATTTGTAAAAATTTTAGATAGGCTATCACTGGGTTATCGGGATTTAAATATTCTTTAATAATTTTTCATTTTTCTCCAATCGTTTTTTGTACTATCGCGCCCTTTATTTTGAAAATAAAACCCTCATAAAAGGAGATCGTATTATGACCGGAAAAAGGCCGAAAAATTCATGCCTTTCACAAAATCTTTTCTTATTTCGATGCAGGCAACCCCATGAAAGAGTAACTATATACATTTGTACTTTTTTACCGTTCAGACGTTAATGCAAATAGGCAGTTAGTGTGAGGCAAAATATCAGAATCGTTTGGTTTTTTTAAGTCCATATATATGTTAAAGGTCATCGTAATTTGAAGACTGAAATTTTGAAAAAAAATGTCATTGATGGCAATGGTTAAACTTGACAGCAGCTGCTAACTTCATTTAATGACGTTATAGGAAAACTCATCACTTTCATATTTTGTACGTAAATAGTCCTAAAGTAATCTTCCTGAACAGATACATGTATGTTATTACATTTACAGTAGTTTTATCTGAAAGCATTAGACTCCGATTTCAAATAAGCTACTATTATTTGTTTTAAACAATTTAAAGCTTCAGAATAACTTTGAACTACTTGCCACCATTGCTGTGGGTTCGAGCACATGCGGCAGTATCAGTGTTTGGACACCCACCCCTATCTGCCCCTGGACCCCTACTACAACCCTGAAAACAATTCAACAATCTAAGGCTTACTATAAGGTACCAAATACAAAACCACCGATGAAATTATATATAAAAAAAAATTTTTCCACTATCAAAATTATAGTTATAGAAAGGTGTAAAGCCTACTATATGGCCATTTGCCAAACAATGTGGAACACGGGAAATCGTCGTTCCGGCGACTGAGGCGCATTCCGGCGGGATTTCGCTGCATCATTCATTAACATTAATAAAAAGAACTAGAATTCCTCAGTTTATGTCATTCAAGTTCAACGAATATCACTATCATTCCGATTGTTTCTGTTTCACGGTATTTTTAGAATTGTCGTAGCCATTTTGCAGTCTGATACCTGGGTTGAAATACGCGATCTGATTGGACGAGCCAAATTAGACGTCCAATCAGATCGCGTATAGCACACAGGTATCAGAATGAAGCCAAAATGGCAACGACAAGTCAAAAATTACCGTGAAATAGAAAAACTCGATAGAATATTGATATTCATTGGACTTGAATTAAGTAAGTTGTGGAATTCAAGTTCTTTTTATTGATGTAAATGAATGATGCAGCGAAATCCCGCCGGAATGCGCCTCAGTCGCCGGAACGACGATTTCCCGTGTTCCACATTGTTTGGCAAATGGACATATAGCAGGCTTTACACCTTTCTATAACTATAATTCTGATAGTGGAAAAAAATTTTTTTATATAATTTCATCGGTGGTTTTGTATTTGGTACCTTATAGTAAGCCTTAGAGTGTTGAATTTTTTTTCAGGGTTGTAGTAGGGGTCCAGGGGCAGACAGGGGTGGGGTGTCCAAACACTGATACTGCCGCCTGTGGGTTCGAATCCTTCCGGAATGTACGCACTTTCTCAAGCGAGAAATATACCCAACTAACGTACGGACGGTTGGTGAGTCTACTCTGGTGCCCGTATTTGCCTGCAGTAATGTACAGAGGGGCACCTGAGATCTGGACATTCATAAAATTGCCACGTGCCAAAGGTTAATAGAATATACTTCATTAAACATTAGTTTCTATCATGTAGAACAATTGCATAGCTATTCGATTTTTATTTCCTCTCAAACACCGTAAATTTAAAAGTAGCCTTATCAAAGGATAGAAAAGCGGACGGTCCAAGCCCGAAATGTACAATAAAGCATGGCATTACAAATATTATTGGAAAGACGAGTCTTAGTACAGTAGCTTGACAGACCTGTATAAAACCCAACACGCATCTAGTATCATCAAGTTACATAGTGTATTTAAACTTCTGTTAACTTAATAAAACAAACATGACATCGGATTAGTTTTTCTCACGATTTTCGACCTTTTTTCAATCATCGTGTTTGTATACTCCCTAAACAAATCTTTAAACAAGCATTAAACATATCATGTCAAATATTTGCATGAGCAGGAACGCGGGAATATTTGATTTCCAATTGCAAATAATTCCGATCAATATGATATTAAAGCGCGCGTTAATATGGCAGAATGAATACAACTATAAAAGTATTATCTTTACATTCAGATCGATCGATCCCGACCTTTGATGCGAAGATTTCTAGGTGTAAATAGATAGAAAAGTTTATTGAAACAGTTTGAAACTTTCTTAATGGTATTTTCGTGTACAGTAACACCAGTGCAGAACAGTAAAGATGTGATTCTTTTGTGATATATCGTTAAACACGGTTATGTTATATGACCGATGTATAAAAATATTCATTTATATTGAGTGGCGGCCGAAGTCTTTACGTTGGGCGTTAAGATTTATTATTGACGGGACGGTCTGCGAAGCTTAGTGCAAGACATTATGAAGTTATGAAAGGAAATCAAAAGTGAAGTGGCAGGGTTTTTAATCTTAGAGTATTAGGTAAGATTATGTGTTTTGTATGAATACTGAAGTGCAATTTTGTGACGGATTATATTGACTAAATGTTAACCTTTTTAAATAACAGTCTGCCCTCACCGAATTTTAATGTGTCAAAATGCTTATAAGTGGAGTACATATATATGTGGTTAGATTTCTCATATTTCTCCCTCAGCAAATTTTTATTTTATTTTAAAAATCGAAGGAACTTGAGCTTAATAGTTTGTGATATCGATATCAGCATAAGGTTTGTGCTTAATGAAATTTAAATATTACTGTAGAACGTCTTTGGAATCATGTAAATTTTCACTAATTTTTTTTTTTTAAATTGCTGTAATAATTAAAGGTTTGTCAAGCGGACCAATTTTGAGTAAAGACTCTTAAAATACTACGGTACAAAAGACCTGTATATTATGTCTTAATATAATATAATATTATGTCTGTAAAATTAGTAAATACAATCATAAATATGTATAATGCATACTATAAAAAAGGTGTTACTTTTACATGAATTTATGTCATTTGCACGTTTTGAAAATTCTTTTTGTTATTTAAAAACTTTAACACTTTGAAAAGAGATTTACGTCCCTTGGAGCTTGCAGCTTTAAGGTTGGGGTGTGGTGAACAGAGAATTGTATAGGGACCAGCTTAAAGAGCTCGGGACCCTTTGAAGATGGAAACTTGCTCCGTTAAATTTTTATATCTTACAAATATATATAACAAAAGTTATCAAGTATAACAATTTCACATATTTTTGATTAAAGTTAGGAAGACCGCTTCACTGTTGCTATGTGTAGTGCACTTGTTCAGTTCGGTTTATTTGAAAGATTATTTTAAATCTACATTTAGTGGTTAAATGAATACTGAAGTTACAGTGAAGATTTATTATCTCTAGTGAAGCCCACTTAAATATGCGTTCACAAAATACTCGAGGATCTTGAATTTATATTAAATATTGATTCGGTTTCTTTAAAACTTTAAATTCTAAAAGGATACACTTTCATTATCAATAACAATAAATGCGCACTGAAAATTGTGCATTTACAAACAATGATTAAGTGTTTTTGTGTAAATATTTAAACATTGAAAATGACAAGATTACAATAACTCGACATGTGAAATAAAATATACGAAAGCATAGCAAAATAATAAACTTCAATATACGTGGGGGTTCATTTTTTGTTTGCAATAACAAGCAGCCGTAAAATGTATGTTCGAAGTTATAATAATCGTTATCAAACTCTCTTCATTTGTTTCTTTGTTCATATCAAACTAAGACCTTAAGGCTCGAACCCAGGTCCACAGAGCATGGAAGACAAGTCCTACACCTGCATTACTCTATTAAAATGTTTGGCAAAATCCTGAAATCTGCGTTTGATAGTTTATATTTTTATGTTATTAATCCGTCTTTATTTTCTCAGATTCGTGCATTGCATGATCAAATTTAATTAGCCATATTATTTTCAAAATTTATATCTGTAAAAACAAAAGCAATCTTTATGCATTATACTTTTTTTAAAATGGCATTTTACTGTACAATGACCATGTTTTGAAATAAACACCGATACCGTTTCCAAATTTAGTGGATCACTTGGTTTATATTATTACGCATTTCAACGTTTGCCCTTGATAATTTTGTATAGACAGTTCAACAATTTAAATCGGTTAAACAATATTTAAAATACAATTACCTTATTCAAAACTACTGTTAGCGCACGAGATTCATATCAGCGATAGGCCACGCAAGTATACTAAAGTATGAGAAATAATAATGCTTTGAAAATACTAACACTTTTTGTATGATAAAAGTATTCAAAAAAGGAAAACACATTTTATTTCGTGAAGACAGATACGAAAAAAGTGTTACTTATTAAGAAAAAGTATAGGTCCTTATGACATGTATACAATTTTATAGCCGGTAGACTATTATAAATTTCAACATAAATACCGAAAATTGTTCTTACAAGAGTCCCAACAAATATATTTCTTTTCTCCAAAAAACTGTTTAAATGAAAACGACATCTTGAGACAAATTGTAAAGCTGAAGAAACATCTCCTTTTCAATTCTCTGTCCCTCGTTATGCATTGACAAGGGCAAGAATGAGGTTTCTAAGTGGTAAGCATATCTCTTAACCCTACAAACAAGGTTCGATCCTTTCTTCCTATTGTTACACTTCCGGCTAGTTTCGGGGAGCGGACTTGTGGGTGGCTCAGGAATTTATCACAGTCGATCTAAAATAAGTGAGCTTAGAAAAAAGAGCATAATGAAATCTGATATGTTTTTTTTTTAAATTTCAAAATACCTCCCAGTGATTTAGGAGTCTATATGTTAGGTTGATTTCTAAAGCTTTAAGTAAGAACTATCAATCAATCAATAAATCAATCAATCAATCGCAATTGATCTTTATAGTTTTTTAGTTAGAACGCCCTAAATTTTGCACTTTGCCTTCACGGTCATCCAAAAAAAATCTGATTTTTCCTTCACAATTCATTCTAAAAATATATATAATCAAATAAACAAATATTAGCAATAGCCATTGCCTAATGACAAAAAATTAAAATCATACATATACTAAATTCGAGACCTTTTTATATTACAAGGCTGTGTCAATGTACTATTATATCAATATTTGTTTAAAAACGTTTTCCTAACCGTATGTTAGATACTTAGACCATTAAAATTATCCAATCTGAGCGAAACAGTTTTAATATTTTCATGGGAATAACTTTTTGAACGATATAGAAATTTTTTCAAAGCACTGTTATAATTAGCCAGTGAAAGGTAATACCCTGTTACAAAATGTAATTAAACATTTATAATTTTTTAAAGTTTGTATCAGTTAACAGTATAGATCTATACGTTAACGGTTTCAAAGTACTAAATTGGATTTCATTGTATACTTTCAGTAATTATATTTCCCAAAAGGATACTTTAACAGACGAAAATGTCGAGGTAAAGTAGATTTATTTTGTTAGATTTGTAGCCAATGTTGTAGGGTTTTATTTCATTTTAATGTTAGTTTCATTTATTTAAGGTATTTAATAAAGTTTGACGGCCTTTTTTCATTTGTTTGTTTGTTCTTTCTATTTTTTGTCATCTTTCCTTTCGAATCTTTCATTTCTTATTCGATTACTTTTTTGTAACAACTTACAACTCTTAAAATGGTAACCATTTTGTTGGCGTGTATCTTACTTCTTATCAATAATTATTTTCCACATTGATTTACAAAATGTATAGCAGCGACCTATGTATAGAGACCTGACTTTTTTAATTAGTTCCTTTTTAGATCATGTAGAGGTTTTCCTTTCCTTGTAGATCATGTCTTAACAAAACAATTTTCAAAATAATATAAACAAATTCAAGTGCTTTTTAATTTAGAAAACTTAATTAGCTGCACAAAACTTCATAATTAGCATATTTTATTGCATGAATATTATACTTACAATAGCTTGTACACCGAAACAGATGAAATAATATAAATACATTTCATTTAGAATCACTTATACATGTAGTTATTGTGTATTTTGTATATCTGGTGTATATTGTTAAAATTAAGGTTTTACATCCAGCATTGATATATCTCGTGAAAGCTCGGTACATTTCGTCACTTTCCATAACTTATTAAAATCATAAAGCGTCGTTATTAAATAAAGCAAGCATAATGCAATGCTAAGAAACAATCTCCACGTAGCATCTCCCCTTAATTCTTCGGGTGCTGATCAAGGGAAGTAACCGCTGTGGGGAATTTGGCAAAGAAAGTGATGAAAGTCAACCGATTTTTCACGAATTACTGCTGGATGGAATGCATTAAATAATTGATATAATTATTGTCACTAGGCCAGAAGATAAGGGGACAAACCCACAGAGGTAACTTTTATTTCGTGTGCTGTGTTTCGGACATTTTGGTACAGTGTGATTTATATGGTTGAAAGTTTACATTTTGCAACTTTTCCTATAGCAAACACTTCTTGAAAGGCTTTTATATCAGCTGATCATAAACTTGTTCTTTTACACAAAAACTTTGAATTATCTTTGCCCATAAAATATTTTAAGATTTTTTATGCTTTATTAATTCGTATAAATGCTGCCTAGTTCGTATTAGTTGTTGCTCAAATTTAATTGCAACGCTTTTAAAATGTATGTTGCTTGTCGTTTTATCAATATAGTACTAACTTTAAGGTTATTACTGCGTGTACATGGAAATGGCGGAAATTTAGGAACGAGCTGCTTGTACATGGCAGTTTTAGGTTGTTTTTGTATTTTTTACAAGGTGGCGGAATTGACATTTCCGCCATTTTGTTTTATCCATAAATATAACAGTCAAAAGCACTTCATGAAAGTTGTTTGCTCGGGGATTGTAATTACATTTGTATTAGTGGTTTAACTTTTAAACAGTGCTGTGTAAAGGTTAATGAACTTGTTGACCCTGTAAGATGTGACGATGACAAGAAAATCATTCAAGGTCCACGATTTTTTGTATTCAGATTTCTTTTTTATCCATTTTTTAAAAATATTTTGTATACTCAGATAAATTGCTAATTAGTTGTTTCAAAACTTCTAGCATGACAACGTCAGAGTGCTAATGGTTAGTCAAGAATTAATAATGTAGATAGAATATTGTTATGTTTAAGTTGGATAACGAAAGATTTTTCTTAGCTAATGTAGTTTTATTTAAAAATTAATAAATGTTTGTTCCTTTGTACAAGGTTTAGCATTCCAAGTTATATGTTTGGCAACCCTATCACCTCTTTCCATGAAAGATAAAAGATACTTGGAAATTCGACAGGGTGATGCTGTTTCATTTTATTCAAAATTATGGACACGCCAAGGTGACATTAGACATATATTTCCCGAGATATTACATAAATTATGAATGATTTTTGTTGGTGAATTAAACATGCAATAACAAATCAAAGTTAGAAACTTTTACTTATATAATAAACATATTTTCAATGTACACTTTTTTTCTGAAATCTAGAATTAGATTAGATATTTGTAAACCAGAATAGCTTATTTATTCTTAATTTTCAAATATAATATTTCAAATCTGTTTCTAGGAAATTAGAGCGAGAGATGCGGCTAGGGACTATAACATCACGTCGGTCTTTGATGGAACGAGAAAAGGCAATGGAGGCAGCACGTAATCCGGGCGTTAGTAAATTTGGAGATTGCCTAGTCAATATCAATTTGAAAGACGACAAGACGTTGAACTCTAACTTAAGAAAGATAAATTCCGAAATAAGGCGAATGCAGTTACAATTTAACCATAAAATGAAATACTTTGTTAAGAGAAGTAACGTTCTGAATCATGATCCAATCATTCTTGTTGAGCGCCCGCCATCACCGGAAGTTAAAAAGCGCGCGCATTTGATGGAAGAGTACACCGGTGAAGACGATGTTCCGGGTGACGAAAACAAACCGGGTTACATGAAACAAATACGCTCTAAAGCTAGGACCCCGTCAACGTTAACCACTATTGACGCATTCACTGTCAAGCAAAGAAAGAAGAAAAATGTATGGGAAGACGCTGTTGAAGAAAAGTCGCGACCGGAATTCGAAAGTACTGTGCGACCTTTCGCAAAATTAACGAGTCGCGAGAGGTCGGACTTACAGAAAGGTTATGAATTCCATAAACCAAAATTAGAAAATTCTGGCAATTCAGAGCCAGGATCGAGAGAAGCATCGCCACATAGGAAGAAAATATCGACTGTTAGTGACGATAGTGACTTTGAAGATGAAATTACACCCTTTATTACTCAAATGGCTGAAGTACGGAACAAAGGACGGGATAGGAAAGAAAAAACAGTAGCGGAAATAAGCTTAAGAGCAAAGACTCCATTATTTGAAAAGAGAGCAGCAGGTAGTCAAAGTAATAAAACTTTAACTGTTGAACGTATGGTGAGGTTCAAGTCTCCTGTCATGTCCGCCCCTAAGGCAAGAAATGCTAATCGAAAGCTCAAAACTAAAGCAACAGAAATAGTGTATTGAAATAAACGCTCAGTGAAGTGCCAGCAACCTATCGTTTCGTTGGTCAGGTTAAATTTACAGAATTGAGTGTCTGATAAAAACTTTATGTCGGTGGAAGTGCCAACATATCCTGATCACTGCCATGACTTTCTTCTTTGCTCACGTATTCCTTCATCTCCGTATACCGGAAGTTGTGACGCAATGAATAAGTGCCGCTTGATGTCAGTTCAAGCGAAAAAAAATCGGAACGTGTGTAATTTCCTTTTGTTCATAAAAGAGTCGGATCTAGAAGCAAATTTTAATAGTTATATCATTGTCTGAATTGTTTAATATCTACTTCAAGTTGGCGCATGTATTTGGTCTTCTTTTTTCTGATTATTTCAATTAACATCCGACTGTTTAATTGCTAAACTTTCTGAATACGTTAGTTTCCCTTTGGTATCTGTTATAACTCTTTATGACTTATATATATTGTCATGCAACAGCTTCTACGTTCGTTGTTGTAAATGTTTTGATATAATATATATACATAGCTATTGTTAAAATAACTCATTATTAATTAGAATTGATTATTAAACCATTGTTACATCATAATGATTATGCTCATCTGTCACATTTTACCCTGATGATAACGTTTCAGAGACATCCCTTGTTGAATATTGATTATATTACAAACTTGTCCTAACCAAATAGAAACAAGAGCGGTGTGAAATCTCGTCTGTTAATTCTATGTTCAAAAGGGACATAATTCCAAAATAAAATGCTTCATTGTCTAACCACTTCACATTGTCGTGATAAGCAAGTATTCTAAGTTTTATGTTGATAACTTTTAAAATGTTTGAATAATGGGCTACATTTAAGTTTTGCATGGCGACAACGACGGATTACCAACGAAGTAGCGATTATAATAGCCCGAACAGACGAGCTAAAAACGGACAACACATGTATTTTACGGATATAGTGATGAATACAGTTTATAATGCGAAGACACAGGTGTAAAAAACAGATCCTTAATTAATTCAATCATACGAGTACATGTTGTGTGTAATGTGTACAATTCCGCCATTTACATTTTACTGTATATCCGAATGATTTTTTTTCCACTCTAGTAGCTGGGTACTGAACATATTTCCAATATCTTAGTCCGCAAAATGTGCAAATATATTGAAATAATATAACTTTGTTTCGACGGTTTTGTATTTCAGTCAAAACGTTAACATCTTACGCCTCATTTAAAGGAACTCAAACATAGGTTTTGAAAAAAAAATTATATCGACACTGAAAACAAAAAGATATGTAAAAGATAATAAAATAATATACTCGGAATTAAATTGATTTCAAGTCGTAATTTTGTATGATTCTTAGCCCGATTAGAGTCAGGCAATGATCTTTTATTTTGCACAAGTTATTATCTAAAATGACACTTCATGGTTACATGCGCAGAGCGAGAGAGGGAATTCTCAAAAGCTTATTATAAATGTTGAATGCTTACAATAAAGATATTGTCACATATTCAATTAAACTCAATAACGATTCCGGAAGGCTTATCGTTTCGGATTGGGATCATCAATAAATATAGTCCCAGCTAGACAAGTAATTAATATTGATGATACGTTGGCGATTGGTAATTTCCGTTATGGTCGAAGCACAGCTCCGTTGCCGTAGACAAAAAATGAACTAACAGTTATGAACGCGAAGCAATATTGTGTTTCTCTCATAAAACATAAAATGATAACAAAAACATTATTGAAATAAATGTTTTATATAAAAAAGAGATGAATAATAACAAAAGTAAAAACAATTCCTAGAATAACATTGCTCATAGAACTCTAACAAGAATTATCCTCACTCATACTAATGAATGTCTTTTTGCTCGTCATAAAAACTTCAAATGAAAAGAAATCATATAAGAGATAAAACTTAAAATGTGGTCTGTAGAAAATGATAACTTATGCAGATATTTGGCATTTGATGGCCATTATAATCATGATTGATTCAAGGGACGTAACACATGTAAAGAACTCTAAATTTGCAATTTAAGTTACCTCCCCGGATTACGTATTTTTGTTGTAAAATCGGAAAATAGATGAGGGTAACATAATTGCGCAGTTCATTTATTGGACATACATGTAAGAGATATTGTAATCTCAATGATTTTAGGAAACCATTCTCCTCTTCTTTTTAAGTAAATTTAGACACGATATTTGCTATCGTGAGAGAAGGAGAGTGGTTTTCGTAATTTAACATCAAAGTCAGGTGTCAGTATCTAGGTGTCCTTCCAACAGTGGCTTGATCCTTAGGTTTTGGCTTTAAACGCCGGTCATGTCCGCTGAAAAGTGAAAACAATTTGGGTAAATCTCACCAATATGAATTCCTGTTGAGGTTTTTAGCGTAATAAAAATTTAATTCCAAGTTAATTTATCAATATCGTTATTTCAATATGAAAAAGGAACCATATTCGGTTATAGACGTTTACTATAACAAGACCTGTCCCTTGACAGTGCGCTCCATTTTCTTATTGCTGGTTAGTATTGTATGAAAACGCTTTTTGCATGCTTATATATCCATGTAAGGGAACAAGTATTTCAGGGTTAATTGGTGACACCAACGCTGACAAGAGGGTCATGACAATAGCTCCAAATTTTTCTTCGAAAAGTGGATCTCAAAATGAAGACATTTTTATCTTTGAAAATTATTACAATTTTATTCTTTTTACAAAAGCATTTAAGTGTATTGCAATTAACACAAAAATACAACAACAGAGCAAAGCAAGTGCGCAACCATGCTGTCTTTATAAGACAACGAGAATATGAAATATTAGGCATTAGTGTTAAAAATTTACCAAAACGCTTTTTAAAAATCAATCATCAGCCGGAACGTCCATGAGCAGTGTATCAGAGATAAAGAAGTTAACAGTAACTTCGAAAATAACAGCCATTCTTTGTACAAAGCCGCAAATATTTTATTAAACCTTAACATATTCTAATAAAGAGTGATTAGCCTTTGCCGCCAGTATATAGAGCCAGACCAGCGTGCACACCAGTGCTGTCTTGCAAGGTCCTATACCCTTCCTTGGATTCAGGCGTTGATATTTTTTCTTATTCATACTTGTTCGTAAGCACGTCATAGTTTTGTGTCGATTTATCGAACAGAAACACAGAAAGAAATCGACAGACTGGAACACAGACTACAGGTTCTATACTGTTGGCAACTCAATGTTTTAACTTTGATATAGAAACCCCTTAAACCTTGAATGGATTGTTTCAAATTCAAAGCAAGGGCAAATCCATTTTACAAATTCAGCAGGTTATTGAGGTTAAGGATTAAATAAATATGGTTTACATAAATGAGTTGAACAGATTAGTTTATTTTTTACTCACATTGCTACATAAGGTGGTGGTTTGGAAGTTCCATTGCTGAAGCTTGAAAAGTAAATAAGACAAAGAAATAATTAAGTAAGCGAATTGTTAAATGTCTGTAAAAACAAATCCGTTATAGGTCACAGGCTATTGATGATTTTAAGACATCATAAAATATTACACGGCAGTGCATTTATCACTTTTTTATGTGTTTTAATATAGTAATTCCCTGAAAGCCTGACTTCATTCGTGTTGATTATTTCATTTTGTTCGATAACTTTATTATTTTTTTATTTAACGAGTTAAGTAGAATCCTATTTGGAATGCATTGTACTTTTTATTCAAAGAGAAAAGTAAATTTAGTAATGAAGCTTTTTCATTGGCGCTCATACTGCAGCACCTTCATAGAGTATCCCTTTACGGAATATATATTATGCATTGAGGGTCATATATACAATACAATATATTTAAACTAAAAACATATGCTGCAGTGCATTTTTAGTGTAAGAATGAGCAGGCTCTACAATTTATCCCATTAAAAATTATGAAATGTTAAAGAAAATTATGAAAGAAAATCTTGATTGTACTTTTGTATTGGTAATCTTCCCCACGCAGATTAGTAAATGTTATATGGTAAAAGCACGGGGGTTTGTGATATACAAATCAAAAATATGTTAAAAAAAAGGTAACATACTCTCCAACTTTAGATGATCTAGCCTTGTCGATGAGAACACAAGCCGCAGTGATTCCCATAATCTGAAAGAGGAAAAAAAATATTTTTCACTAATGAGAAAAAAAGACCTAGGACACTTATGCCCTGTCACATGTCAGTGGCATATTAACATACATGTACTTCATATGTATATTTTATAAAGGTCAAGTTTTATATCAATAAGTAATAAACATATATTATACATAAACAGTATTATTATAACTAATAAGAAGAAGCCGTCCGGTTAGCTTAATAGGTATAGCGTTGGGCTGTGATTCGGGCGGCTTGACCAGGAACAATACGGTGGCTAAACTGTGCTCTGATAAATTTAATGTGGCGCCCTATCGTGATCCGGAGCGTAAACTACCAACACCAACACCATAACTAATAAGTTTTACTAACCTTAATCTAAGGAAGCTCTAATTATTGACCAGGAAATGTTTGTAAACTATTTGTTTTGTTTACATTGCTCTAGAGGTATCTTCCCTACAGACTTCTATTTGGTTTTCACTAAAACCCTGCTATATCTGTGACATTACCTGATTGTCTTACATTCATTTAATTTTCTGGTCTTTCAATATAAAATAAAAACTAACATTATACTTTACCTCGCCCAAAATGCAGACACCACAAGCCACAATGCTAATTAGACTGTAAATATTTATGTACGATACGACCCGGTCATAGCAACCCTGAAAATAACAACGAAATTGATACAACATAACACGGATGAGTGGCTCGCAGTTTTTCTTGCAAATTTGTGACTGGCTTATACGGATATTAAGGATATTAAATAATAGAGTAGAAATTATTTATTCAGAATCTTTTGACGCTTTTGGACAGAGTATATAATTTTAATGAGTAAAAAGAAAGTTTTTGATGTCGTCTGTCGAATAACAGACAATTTAAAAGGTGTTTTCGCAGCAAAATGGCAAACTCGGTATCATTTCCCTTGAATGAATTCATTCAATGCATACCTTTGATGAAAGGGAAATGAGCTTCAAAATTAATGTCCCGCTTAAATATAGCTATGCTACAATGATATAAAACTCCTTACGATATAGTTTACTGTAAAATTAAGTAAAATAAAATGATTGTTTTACCTCTGTATAAAAGTTTGACGGAGTATTAGTACAAGCAGCTGAATTGACATAATCGGACACCGTGTCTGAATCGACGCCTTGACAACACGTGGCAGGTACTTTATCCGTGCTGAAATATTACAATCATGTTAAATTATTTCATTAGTAAAGAAGGTTCATCATTAGTATTTATTCTAAAGAGACATGAAATCTCTGTGATATTTAGTAGAAAAACGTCCTTATTACAACTACCATAGCTAGCTTTAACCTATTAAAAGGTTGTATGTACTAAGAGTAAGTAATAAATCCAATGTAATTGTATGTAACATAGTAATTTTAATATGCCCAAGTAATGCATTTTTCGCATATAGCTTTATGTACATAGCGTTTGCTTGACATCAAAATCATGGCTGGTGAACTTATTCAATTTCCAGTTAAGAACCATATTACTTTGCAGAAACGAATAAATTATTCTTTCTTTAGATAATGGTTTTAGAGAAATTAATATAGAAAGAAAAAAATAGAACTGAACGTCTAAATATTTGTCATAAAGGGTAGCAAAATGTACACAAAGTACATGTATAGTATTTTGACTTCTTTACAATTACGATTCACGATTTCTACATATACTAATTGCCGAAAAGCCATAGAAGTAATAGATGGTTATGGTAATTGCGTATCTTATGAATACACCAAAAATAAACAAGTTATGAAAAATTAAAGTGAAAGTATTTCTGAGGCATAATTGGGTTTTAAATGTGTAATTCAATATTGATATTATAAGATATAAGATATATTACCCAGAGGTCCACGTTGTAGGAAGTTCGGTGAAATCACTGTTAGTACCGCCATCTTTAAACTGGTCATTAACGCCGCAACATCGTGCCTGAAAATAAGAGAACGGTTGATTTCAACGGAAGCATTTTCATTGTACATTTTCTAGGATAAATAACGTAAACATTTAAAAAGCCGACAAAAGAACATCCCTTTGATAGAATAATTCCAATGATTCTATTACACTACTTATATATACACACACAATTGCTATTGATTATTAACTATTTTGTCACTGAATAGAGTACACCCAGTGATTTGAATAACCAATATACATGAATATAAAAAATGCTTAAATTGTAATATGAAACATCGGCTTTGACAAGCATTCCCTATCATTAATAAATAGTTAAGCAATGAACAATGAATAATTTCTTATCTTGTTGAAAATGTATTGGGTATCATTCTAACTTAAACCAAAATATGATGTAATTGGCAAAAGAAATACATGTATTCCATTCAAAATTGATATTTTGACAGACGGGTGAAATTGGATGTATGAATGTATAGTCAAAACTGAATACCTCAATAAAGAGTTTGTTCCATCCTTTGGAAGTTTTGTCTGTTTGATCTGGACCGGCATAATCTTTCAGTAGATCCAACATTTGACCCTTAAGCCATTGGTCAGTCTGGAAAAAGAAGAAAAAGGCGGGCATGACTTTACTAAACTTTTGAGTGCTGATAGCTAAAGAAAAAAATCATTTTGTTGCCTTTTTTCACTTTTCTAAGTAAAATACAACAAGCATAAAATTGCTGCATGAAGGAAATAGCAAATAGATAAAACTCAAAAGTTGTATCGAACAAATGTTCACTGTAAAATCCTGTTTGTTTGTCTTTGCCTGTTTTTAGTTAGTGCCTCTTTAGTAACACCTTTAGGTGAAAGCTACTTCCTCTTAATTAATTATTAATAACTTCTCTTAATTAATTAACTTAAATAAAGTTTATAAAAAGTAAACCCGAAATAAATCGAGAATTTCTAATATAACAATACTTCTTCAGATCACTTGACTGTTATTTTAAATAGCGTTATGTAACATTCAAGGAGAAACGGCCCGTACTTACCCTTCCTCTCATACTCATCCATAGACCAATCAATACACCTTCTACCAGCAGAAAAAATACAACTAACACGATAAACTGAAAGTAAAATAACAATTTAATAATTGAATTTAATATACATTGTAATAATTTATGCCAGTCTACGCCTAATAGATTGCACCAAACATAATATGTAAAATTTACTAATGTCTTGAAAAATATTCCAGTAACATCAAATTATACAAAGGGACTCCACCGAGGTTTGTTAACTGACATGACGGAACTGGAAATATTTTTTCCAAGATTTATGTACCATTTGACCAGTAACTTTTATGGAGAGTATCAGATCCTTCGCTCGAATCCATTTTTTTCGAATAATCATTTTTATTACGCAAAATGGACTAAGTTTAGTCATATTTTATTATTGTTTTCTCATTCTTTACAAAAACAGAAACGATGTCACATGCAAACATAACGCATGTATTTACAGTGTTCATAAAAAGGCAATGGGTCGGACAACAAAATGAACAAAAAAAAATTAAATCGTTTTAAAGCTTTTAAATCAAATCGCACAAAAAAAAATTTTTTTATTTAATCCTTAGTATATTTCTCTATCCTTTTTTGCATACATTTCGTTTTAAGTGACTTAAAAGTTTAAAGTCAAATGTATCAAAGCACATAATTAAACTAAAACAATCACTGGTGGAATGTATGCGAGAACGGTGGGGACATTTCAACTTCATAAATTTACGATTTCAACTTCGTGAATTCACAAATTCAATTTCGTGTTTTCATGATTTCAAATTCACGAATGACATTGAAATCGTGAATTCGTGAAGTTGAAATTGTGAATTCACGAAGTTGAATTCTGAAAGTTGCAATTGTGAATTCATGAAGTTTGTTGAAATCGTGAATTCATGAAGTTGAAATATCCCCACCGGTCTTTCGTAGGAATGTCATTACAATTATGTACTTTGTCACATATCTAATGATAGAAGTAACATGTATAATATGGTGATCACAAGATTGCATCAAATTTAACAAACAGCGCTTTATGATCATTAAAATGTTTGACAATATTGTATGAAACACTTACAACCCAAAGACAAGATTTCGAAGTCTTCCAAGCTCCACACATACCAAGTACAGCCACACATAGTATAAGACCTCCAAATACCATCATTAAATACGCGAAAAAATCGCTCATGAACCCGATTGGTATATTACTGTACTGTATTTCATTGAACAAATTAATGACGTCATTTTCCAGGAACCCACTGTCCAGCTTGAACATCAGTCCGGCAGCAAAACACGCGCCACCCGCCAACTATAATAATTTAAAATGATAATCATTGGTGTTCAGAGTTTTCGTACTTTCTATACGCTTAATCAGGTTTGAAGAAAAAGCTTTAAATAATACTGAGAAAAAAGAAACTTATCTATCTTAATAACATCAACATAAACAACATAGAAAACATAATAAATTTCCATATGTACAAAATTGCAGAGAAAGAACCCAAAATATTTGGTATTTATAAGCCAGGCAAGGGGCCGTGATAGGGGGACTCAGAAACAATTGTACGTACTCTTTTCGTGTAATGAAAGAATGATTCTAATAAATATTGATTCAAATAAAGTGATCTTTTATAATGATACAATACAATGGCAATCTCGTTTAATGTAACATGGATACGTTTGTGACGTTCCTTACTGATGCCTCGTTTTCAATGTAACATAGTAACATTTGTAACATTTTCTTCATAAAATTACATGGTTACTTTTGTGACGTTTCTATACTGTAGCCTCGTTTTCATTGTTACATGGTTACGTTTGTGACGTTTCTATACTGTAGCCTCGTTTTCATTGTTACATGGTTACGTTTGTGACGTTTCTATACTTTAGCCTCGTTGTTATTGTATCATGGTTACGTTTGTGACGTTTCTCTACTGTAGCCTCGTTTTCATTGTTACATGGTCACGTTTGTGACGCTTCTATACTGTAGCCTCGTTTTCATTGTTACATGGTTACGTTTGTGACGTTTCTATACTGTATCCTCGTTTTCATTGTTACATGGTAACGTTTGTGACGTTTCTATACTGTAGCCTCGTTTTCATTGTTGCATGGTTACGTTTGTGACGTTTCTATACTGTAGCCTCGTTACTTTCTTACATGGTTACGTTTGTGACGTTTCTATACTGTAGCCTCGTTTTCATTGTTACATGGTTACGTTTGTGACGTTTTCTTACTGTAGCCTCGTTTTCATTGTTACGTTTGTGACGTTTCTATACTGTAGCCTCATTTTCATTGTTACATGGTAACGTTTGTGACGTTTCCTTACTTTAGCCTCATTTTCATTGTTACATGGTAACGTTTGTGACGTTTCCTTACTGTAGTAACGTTGTAACGTTTATGATGTTTTCTTCTTGTAAACCACGTTTTCACTATTACATGGATACGTTTGTGAGGTTTCTTTACTGTAGCCTCGTAATCATCGTAAAATAGTTACGTTTGTGGCGTTTCTTTACTGTAGCCTCGTTTTTCATTGTTGCATGGTGACGTTTGTGACGTTTCTTTACTGTGGCCTCGTTTTCATTGCTACGTGGTTATGTTAATGACGTTTCTATACTGTACCCTCGTTTTCATTGTTACATGGTTACGTTTGTGACGTTTCTTTACTGTAGCCTCGTTTTCATTGTTGCATGGTTACGTTTGTGACGTTTCTTTACTGAAGTCTCGTTTTCATTTTTACATGGTTACGTTTGTGACGTTTCTTTACTGTAGCCTCGTTTTCATTGTTGCATAGTTACGTTTGTGACGTTTCTTTACTGTAGCCTCGTTTTCATTGTTGCATGGTTACGTTTTGTGACGTTTCTTTACTGTAGCCTCGTTTTCATTTTTACATGGTTACGTTTGTGACGTTTCTTTACTTTAGCCTCGTTGTTATTGTTACATGGTTACGTTTGTGACGTTTCTCTACTGTAGCCTCGTTTTCATTGTTACATGGTTACGTTTGTGACGTTTCGTTATTGTAGTCTCGTTCTCGTCGTAACATGGTAACGTTTATGACGTTTTCTTCCTGTAGCCTCATTTTCACAATTACATGCATACGTTTGTGTAGCCTCATTTTCATCGCAATATAGTTAACTTACGTTTGTGACGTTTCATTTAAGTGGCCTCGTTTTTATTGCTTTATGGTTACGTTTTGGAGGTTTCCTATTTATATCCTCGTTTTGATCGAAACAAGGATACTTTGGTGAATTGTTACTCTATTTCCTGATTTACATGTTTTACCCTCGTTTTCCCTATAACACTGATACGTTTGTTAACTTGATATATCGTAGTCTCATTTTAACTCCATCATGGTTTCATTTTTGACGTTTCTAAATCATTTCGAGGCAGAGTTGTTCGTTCCTTACATATCAAACATCTGCAATGGGCTTAATGACAAAAATCTTGTCGAAACGTTATAATTTTTTAACACTTTGACTTTCAGAATAAGACCATAGATAAAATGCACAAATAGAAGCACGTTATAAAGATACGTATGATAAATTTATCATCATTGTTATTGGAACTATTGTCAAGCCTGGGTATGAAGATGATATCATTACGCAGATGTAAAAAAAAACTTGAAAGTGATTTCAACGTGAAACATTCTGTTTGCACCTCTGTTAGTTTGGAGGCAGTGGCCTTATTCTGGCGACATCAATCGCAAAATTATTCATTTCCAAAATGTTAACATATGTCAGTGCGGTTACTTTGAATGAGAGTTGGGACTACTTTCAGAGCCAACTATACTAAAGCGAATTGAATAGATTATATTTTTCTTATAAGTTTCGTTTTCATCGTTACATAGATATGTTACGCGTCTTGTTAAACTTTAATAGATTCTAGTACGTTTGTTACGTTTTGTCATTGTAGCCTCGTTTGCATTGTAACATGCGTTTGTGAAGTTTTCTTGTTGTTTTCTTGTTATTATCGTAACATAGTTACGTTTGTAACATCTTCCTCCTGTAGGTTCATTTTCAATGTTATATATATACGGTTTTTTTTACGATTTCTTATTGTAGCCTCGTTTTTATTATAATTGAAACATAAGCACGTTTTTACGTTTTAATATTGTAGCTTCGTTTTAAAACTGACACGGTTACGTTTGTGACGTTTTCTTATTGTTACCACGATTTCACTGTTACATGGATACGTTTGTGACGTTTCCTTACTGAAGCCTCGTTTTCATCATAACATGGTAACGTTTATGACGTTTCCTTACTTTAGCCTCGTTTTCATCTTAACATGGTAACGTTTGTGACGTTTCCTTACTGTAGCCTCGTTTTCATCGTTACATGGTAACGTTTGTGACGTTTCCTTACTGTAGCCTCGTTTTCATCGTTACATGGTTACGTTTGTGACATTTCCTTTCTTTAGCCTCGTTTTCATTGTTACATGGTAACGTTTGTGACGTTTCCTTACTGTAGTCTCGTTTTCATCTTAACATGGTAACGTTTGTGACGTTTCCTTACTGTAGCCTCGTTTTCATCGTAACATGGTAACGTTTGTGACGTTTCCTTACTTTAGCCTCGTTTTCATCGTTACGTGGTAACGTCTGTGACGTTTCCTTTCTTTAGCCTCGTTTTCGTCGTAATATGGTAAGGTTTTTTGACGTTTACTTCCTGTTGCCACGTTTTCAATGTTACATAATATTATATTCGTTTTATACGATTTCTTATTGTAGCCTCGGTTTTATTATTATTGAAACATGCTCGAGTTTACGTTTTGATATTGTAGCCTCGTTTTAAAACTGACATGGTTACGTTTGTGACGTTTTTACTTTATCCTCATTTTCACTGTTACATGGATACGTTTGTGACGTTTTCTAACTGTCGCCTCGTTTTCATCTCTAAGTTTGCGTAGCCTCGCTTTCGTCGAAACAGGGTTTGTTTTAGTCACAACACGAATGTGTTTTTGAATGGTAATATTATTTTCGCATTTACATGCATTAAATTGTTGACTCATTATCACTCTTTGGTGATTTATCTAACGACAAATTGGATGTGTAATTTAATCGATATTAGGATTATTCTTAATATGTCGCACACACACAAAGAATTAAAGAATATACATGTGACAAATGACTGTTTTCATTGAAAAATCTCAGGTTACAAGTTCAAATTGCTATGAAACTATAAAAACTGCTTCAATACTAATCAAACTTGGCACAAATGTTGACAGGACCATTGCCTTTGTAACAACATGCTCAGTCTTAAATTTCATGTTACCATGGCAACGAGGGGACATCTCAAAATTGCCAAAAATCACTATTTTGCGTTGATTTTTTTCTATCAAAATTGATTTCAAAGTGCTGCAACTTCTCAATGGATTGAGATAGAGTCAAAGGGTTTTCAGCATTGGTTACACGTAACATTATGATCAACTTGGGGTCATTTTTAGCCTCTCAAAAGTCCAAAATTTTCTTGGCACATCCCCCTTCCGGCAACCCCCTGATGTATCTTTTGGATGTGGGCGGCGCCAAAAAAGTGGTTACTTTTTTAAGCAACATTTCTCAAACAAAAACAAGTGTTGGGGCCTAAATAAGGCATTTTTCACCATTTGAGACAACAAATAAGGGGGGGTGAAAAAGGCGTTACAATGCGTATATATCCGGTAATGGGTTAAAATATATGTATTGGCTGAATTAAGAAGCAAGACATCAGTGATAATATGGAAAAAAATGTTTACGGTGAAATTACCGAAAATAAAAATATGCATTTTTATTTCATCAGTATTTCTTTTTCAATATTTCATTCATAAGTAAATAATAAAACAAATTCTTTTTGGCTTTATTTTTAGTTTCTCTATTTTTTCATGGGCAGCCTTTACCCTATTACCTCTTTATGTAAATGGGTAAAATAATGCCTCTATTTTTAACTTATCTTTGGGGGGGGGTGAGGTTGCTGTTGTTGTTTTCTTGTGGAGGATATTTATCTGCATCAGATATCAGTATGAAAGAATAAAATACTTACAAAGATGAAAACGTTTACTAATACAAGGAAATATTTGGAACATTTCTGTCCTTCCATCTGAAAATAAAAATTTAATAATCATTATATATAATTACTATCAGGAACGCCGCTTCAACTTCCTTCTAAGAATCACTTAAAAATGTTTCTTTTCTTTCTTAATTATAAACATTTTTTCAGCTTTTAAAGATTTATTATATATTCTAACTATACTTATATCTACATGGCATTGTATTTATCTATTATCTATAGCATTGTAGCTAGTACTTGAAATGTATGTATTTCTCGTCTGTTTATTTTCTTACGATTTCTCATACATACATAAAATAAACTTAATAATAAAATGATAAACATCTACCTTTTGAAAAGTCCAATGTACGATGTCACTAATTTTTTTTAAATCCTCCGGTTTTTTGTTGTTGTTTTTTTTTTTTTAATCGTTCGCAAAATCACCGTTTATAAACAAACTATGTTTAAATCCCGTATGATATATTTTAAAACATCTTTTTAATAGTCATAAAAAATATCGCTAAACATGACTTGCGATTGAGCGTCCGTGGATTCATTTATTTATTTTTTAAATATTTTAATATCTTTCAAAGACTGTCCTGATCTCTTTCAGAAGGACTTCACGGGTATTCAGTTTCTTTTTACAGCTATTGACGTATCGCAAAGATGAAAAGGACATTTTAAATGTAATTGAAAACTGTGAATTTGTGATATACATTTATTGATGAAATATTGATTTTAATAAAATCATTTGTTGAGACGTATAGATGTGCGATGTAAAGAAATGTAAAGAAACATAAACATCAATTATGAAATTGAACTCTTATTCTATTTGTATTTGACGTAGACGACGATGTTTACAAGAGTACTTTTATTCGAATGATGTCAAAACATTTGAATTTGATTTATTTTTCATTTCATGATAAAATAAAATTGTACAGTGTAAACATGACAATTGCGATAGGAATGTATTGTATTTTGACAATAATTTATAAGTGCATTTAGCGATGTATTAATCATTCAAGATTGGCATACGTATATGCGCTCTTCATTTGAATAACTCGTGCTTTATAACGCACAATTCTTTTCTAATAGATACGTACATAAATCAGATGCACAAAATACTACAATTCTAAAGTGTAAAACAATACAAGAAATAAACACAATATACTAAGCTTGTAAATTTATTTTTCAAATTTATTTAACAAACAGAAGTAGATAAAACATATAGATAATTAAAATTCGAGTTTAAAATGTGAGATGTATTTAAAATTCTTTGGGATCATTGTCGAACAAGTTGAATATCGACACTAAAAGTATTTGAATCAATGATCTTAAAGGGCAAAAAATATACAACAAGACTGGGGTGAAGTACGCGACATCTTTTTACAAGTCTATCTAAACTTTGATAGAGTAAATAAATAATGAAAGGTTATAAACTTTAGCGTGCCGTAATTTTAAAATTTCAAATATAATTTGAATTATACTTCTTTACAATTAACGGTGTATGTAACAATTAAACAATTCACGCAATATATAAAAATTATTTTACATTCATCTTATTCACAGAGAGACCTTTTTCAAAGTAATTATCCACAGAGTAGATGGAAGTTGATTATAATGTTAACAATTAAAAAATGTTAAAACGTACAGTGTAACAACAAAAAAACTTAACAATTAATTGGATAACGTCATAACGAGTAATAGAGGGTATTGAATGAGTGTATAGGTTACAGATTTGAACTTATTGAACTGTTTGAATTAGGGAGACGCTCAAAATCCCCTTGATCATAATCCCCTTGGTTGATAAACGACATAGTGATCGAAATCCCCTCAACAGAAATGACAGGGTTATCATAATCCCCTTGGCAAAAATAAAGGGGTGGTCATAATCCCCTCAGTGGGTAGTCAAAATCCCCTCAAATAATGTGAAATGGTTGGGAAATTTCTTTTCTTATTTTTCTTTTTAGTTCAATGAATTTAAGAACCAACTGCTTCAAGAATTGCTGAAAAAAAAGAGAAAAGCATACAAACAATTAAAAAGTGTATGTTTGTCACAGCCAGTTAATAATGACACCCTTTATTGATGTTATTATTGCTGAGAAAATTGTAAAATACAAACAAATAAATGATAGTTGATTATAATTAATCATTGCAATTATAGTATATATTCTGTGAATGTGCTAACATATGTAAAATGTGCTGTCAGAAAATAAATAAGAGTGAAATATTATGTCTGGTTTTATATTTTATATTAACATGAAAATGACAACATTGGAGTATTTAAAAATAACCTGTATTATATTGCTAAAGTATACTCCATACTCTTTCCTCTACTCAATGTAACTGCTGTTTGCAACATTTCTTTATGTAACACAATAGTTTAGCTGGAGTGACAAAAGATCAAAGGAAAAAGAATATTGAGTAAAGGGGGTTGTTTTTCACAAGTTGAGGGGATTTTGACCACCCCATCATTTTTGCCAAGGGGATTTTGACTATCCATCAAGGGGATTATGAACACCCGGTCATTTCTGTTGAGGGGATTTCGATCACTATGTCATTTTTCAACCAAGGGGATTATGATCAAGGGGATTTTGATATACATTCTTTGAATTTAATTATATAATATTTATTTCATTCAACGAGTTCAATAAATTTAGTTTTGAAGCTTTATAATTTTTTCCTGCTTATCACATACTAAAAATGAGTACAATTTACAGTTTTAAAAATACGAGTGTGTATAACGCATATGACGTCATGTCATAATATTAGTCTGGTTCCATGCCAAGTACTATTCTGCGATTACCAATAACATAGAAACAGGGGCAGGTAACCAGCCTAGTCATAACATATGCATATGGGTCAAATGAAATAGTTATATAATCAGTACACAAATTGTTGAATTATGAAATATCATATTTTACGAATAACGCTTTTAAAATTAACAATAATGACTAATTTGTCATTCGACAACTTTGTTTGCCTTTTGATGTACATTATCATAGTTGATCTAGTATGAATGTTTTCAAGTGGATGTATCCATCAAATACAAACAAAAGACGAGAAAAATCCGTGGTGGAATGTTTGATGTTTATGCATATATTTCAATCTCGCGACTTTAAAACTTTGTTTTCATGATCCGGTCCCTGTGAACAAAAAGAGAATATGTATACAGATATTTTCACTTTTTCAGATTCAAAGTTACAAAACTGTTTCATAAATTCGTTCACTTAAAACAATATTTTCGGGAAGTCGACATGACTGTGTTACTTTCTTTTTCCCCATCGATATTTGGTCCCGCCATGACATGACAAACATGCGAAGAATGGTTGGTTAAAAAACGACATCTAAAATGTATTATTTATTTATTTATTTATTTGGCCATAAATTTGCTGTGTTTTGGCATTTCTTCTGCTACCGAAGCTAAAGGTTGGGTGCTCGACAAAGCCACTGTCTCTTGTGTTTTTCAAAATTTCTCCTTTCACATCGCCACACGAAAAAATGAACATGGCATTAATCAGTCACCATACTAATCATGGTCCACTTTCTTATCATAATAATGTAAACACAAATTTTAAAATAAGCTTAAAATAATGAATTAATCATTAATTAATTAACAAGCCGATAAAAATTTCATATTGTTACATTTATAAAAAAAAAACATGTACATCTATATGCAAACAGGGGACAAAGCTAAAATATCTTACATGGCAACGTATGGTGTCGGCGGTCGATCAACTCTGGCCCTGAAACAATATGACTTATTTTATTACTGTGTCTACTCGACACATTACAAAGTGTTTTTTTTTTCGTTTTCATTTTAATTCCCGTATAATAGTTGTACTAAACAAATTATTTATTCAACATGAATTACATTGTAATTACAGAAAAGAAAACAGCAAAATGTTTTAGTTTTAATATGGAACGTTTCAAGGGGCACATACAATACAGTAGTAAGAACGTTGTTGCATGCACACATTTTCATATTTAGAAATTGTTAATTAACTTTGAATCGCAATGATGTTCTAATATTAATTCAATAGTAATAAATGACACCCAAAAACTCACATCGGGGAAACTTTGGTGCCTCTGTCAAGCAACAAACATGCACCTAGAATAGCTAACAACTGAAATTAAAAACAAATAAAAGAAAGTGTTGCTAATAGAACGTTTGTTTCCTAAACTAAATCCCGTAGAAAAGAGTTTTTCTTAGACCGGCAAACATTAAATTCTCCTTGCGGAGAAAAGAAACAATACATTAGCCCATTGATCATCGAATATCTAATGCTTCTTAGACTGAATTTACAAATAGGAAACTCACTTGCGAAAAAAAAATGAAAATAAGCTGGATCGTCAATTTTTCAATGCTTTGTCGTCACAAGCATTTAAAATTAGTTTTATATCATGAACTTTACATCGGTTGGTTTCAGGAACAGATTTATAGCTTCTTACTTAATCGAACTACATTCTGTATAAACTATGTACGGTGCACGTTTCATCTTTTCATAAAATCTGCTAGTCAAATATATCGTTGTCCACCGTATTTTAGTTCGAGTACCCAAATCCCTTTCAAATAATTTATAAATCTATACAAATACCTCAAGGATCAATAGGGCTCCGGCAGCACAAAAGAAGATGATACTGTTGAGTTTTGTAAGATCAACGAGTTGTGTGTAACAACCCTGTAACGAATGAAAATGACAATAAGAAACTGATGTCTTATTTATAAAATCTTCATCAATTTCGATGAAAATAAAGTTCTGCAATTACAAAAGTACCATTTAAGTTCTCGAGTGTAGTTAAACGCATTCGGTTACAAACATGTTCAGATTTTCTTTAACATCAATCGCATCTTCTCGGCCCTTTCTGTCAAGTTTCTTAGGACCTCAAACATTCGGAACTGCCTCGGCTATTATCTATAATAACCTTATCCGAAGACTGACGGAAAGGGGGGCCGAGTTGTTGCGATTGGACCTCAAACACAAATCGCAACTTTTCGGTCCTTTCCGTCAGTCGAATAATGGGTCTAACTGAACTTGTAAACAAATAGTAATTTATTTCTCGGAGTTGTTGACTAAGTTTATTCCAATATATCGAGTAAAAGTCCAACTAAATTAAGTAAATTCATAAATATTAAAGTAAACAGTAATTAATTTTTATATGTCGGCTTTGATGAGCATTTTTTAGATTGATTATGATTGTCAGACATATTTTCAGTAATAATTGTGCCGGAATAGTCTGTATTTTCCTTTGTATGTGAAAAATATGCATGCGTTATGCGTTATGCATTATCAAAAGCTACACTGTCTGTATTTGTTTAGAACTAAAACCACGGGGTAGAACTAAAAGCATTTTCACACAATTTACCTTTGTGTAGTAATCTTTCGGGGTGGTCGTGCATGCCGTATTTATGGTGCTAGAAATATCGTCATCATCTACCCCCTGACAGCACGTTGCCGGAACTTTCTCACTACTGCAAAAATTTACAGAACATATGAGAAAAGGTACGTTGACGATGACATATTTGATTCCAAAAGTTCAAAGTTTAGTAGTCCAATTATTTAAACAAAATGAACAACGTACTGCTTCATTCGGAAAGTAGTTTATCTTCATCATTTTAAGTGTTTAATGACGAAGCCTTCCGGTCATGTAAGACTATCTGGAAGTTTTTGTTTTATAAACAGCTGATAAATAAAAAAGACTTACTTTGCATTTGTGTTGAACCAGACCGACTGTGTATCCTCGAAATCCCCCGTGGTATCACCGTTTGCAAACTGGTCTATCACTCCGCAGCATCGTGCCTAGATAAAAAAGAATTGGAAACCTCAAAGTATCAAAGCATTTCTTTAAAAGAAAATTGGTTTATTTTGAACTAATTTGTAATAAACAATTGCTGTACCGTAGGCGAATAGTTTTAACTTGAACATTCGACAAATTCATGCAAAAACTCGAGGACTCCATTGCCTTTAGATGGCAACAGACTATTGATATACGGTACTTATTCTATATATATGTACATGTATATGTATATATCTCATTTGTTAGCACTGTTAGGGAGACCGGGGTAAAGCGTTAAGAACACCGTTTTTGTAAGCATGTAATAAATTTGATTGTAACGTAATAACTTCGTATACATGTGTTTTTATACCAAAATAAACAACACAATACATACCTGCATAAACATTTCATTCCAACCTTTTGATGTTTCATCAGTGTCCTGGGGACCTTTGTAATCTCCGAGAAGGTCCAGCATCTCTCCTCTCAACCATTCGTCAGACTAAAACAACAAGTTTGTAAATAAAAATACATCATTTGTTTACCGAAATTTATTCATTTACTTACCTTCTTACCAAAGTTCAAAGAGCTGAATGTGACATTATGCTCATTTTTTCGCTGTCGGATTGAGTTGGAATTAATAATATATTTCAAAAGATTGACTACTAAAATGATGATTGACCAATCATTGAAAATAAAAGATGTGTAGGATACATGTACAATATAAAAAGGACCTCCACCGTTCTTTTTAAGAATTGAGCGTTACCGATACATTTTGAATGATATTTATAGAAATTTCTGTTGGTCACATGAATAATGGACTATTTTTTCATAGCAAAACACAAGGATGACAACATGTCATATTATTTTGATCTGGTTTACCTGTTCACTGACTATTTACACTTGGATAGTCATAATGTCTCTTTAAAGCTTCAACCGAAATCAAAACGACATATTTTACTTCTAAGAGAACGCCTTTTTTAATAAAAGAAAACAACATTTAAATTGCAAACCCCTGTGTTTGTGAAGTTTCGTCCTTTTGGCGATTGGGGTTCGAAATCCATAATATAAAATGGCAAGGTATATGCCAAATTAGTGAGACAAATCTAACACACGACATTATGTTATGAAATGGATTCATAAGTTGATAAGTTTGAAACCAAGAGCGCGAGTTAACTTTTCATTTTAACCTCAATATTAATTAATCATATGAAGAACACTTTACATGGGCACTGGAACTACTTTAACTTTACTGATAAAATCGAAGACATCACTACAAAAAAAGAAAAGCTGAATAAGTTTGCCATAAACATTTATTTTTAGCCATAAAGATTAAAGAAAAATAAAGAAAGAAAAAAGAGGCTTACTCTTCCCCTCACGTAGACCCAGAATCCAACACACACAGCTTCTGCCAATATCAACAATACAGCCATTGCAACAAACTGTAATATATAAAACTTAATTCACATATAACAACTACTAGTATAGACCTTTTTACGACGCGGTCCGTTGCTATGAAAAATTGACCGGAATAAGAATTTTCTCGCGCATGCGCAAACTGCGTAGGGCAAGAAATCCTTCGCCTTACATAGAAATATAGTAAAAGTTCATAGACAATTCCGAGTTAGTTTAAAGTAAACGGTAGAAAATTATATAAAATAGCTTTCAACAGTTATAGAAAAGATGACTTTATAGCTTTGTGGCGAAAAATGCCATAAAAAGGCATGCAAAAGATACTTGTTTAAGAATTTACGATCACGGAACTGACACTGAGATCATTTTTTTAAAGACGATGTTGAAATATATCTATAAGCAAATGAAACGTCAACTTATTTGCTGTTGAAATAGTTCATTTAAAAACAAAAGAAATTATATAACATGAAATGGAGATTATCATTCAGAAAAATATCAGAACAGGCAGAGACATAGATGTTATCTATGTCTCTGGAACAGGTGATAATGCATTTTTAGTGTTCAATATACCTGATTTTATGCTTTATCCGATTTTCCTGTGATGCAAACAGAAAAATTTAAGTCACATAAATAGATTTTAAATAATTGATTATTTTTTTACCAAAATCTTTAGATGTTAAGATGGGTAGTTTGGAAAATATATCACACACATTTTATCCGCTTCTTCGTAATAAATGATGTTATTTTTAATAATGCACGTGACACAATTTTTCTCTTCTCAAAATCCATAAACATTGATCGGTATATTTAAAAGTTACATAAATTACCATTTTAATAAGCGTAATTACTGATTAACTATATCATGATATTTAAACGTTCCGGTTCAATGAACAAACGTTATGGTGCCAATCTATTTGACACTTGCCGCCTGACCAATCCAGTTATTTAAAGGAAGTGTACAATACGAATTGTGTAATACAGGGGTAATAAAATTTTATCTTTAACACCCTGCTGTTTCAATTTAAATTACCGATGTAAAAGTCGTCTAATGATACCTTAAACAAAGATATGTGTGTGCCCGTTTTGACCATTGAATTATTACTCCCGCACATTTTCGCAGATCTCTTAAAAATAAATTCACGTTTTCTGTACTTACCGCCTTAAATCATCCCAAAATTAATATTTTTTGGGTGACATAACATGAAACAACATCTATTAAAGCCTTAAAGTATGATAAACTGTAGACATCGTTATTGCTTTCTGCCCTACGCAGAATGCGCATGCGCGAAATGCAACATTCGTTGCTATGGAAAATCGTATTGTAAAAAGGTCTATATAATCATTTTGTTGTTGTTGTTTTGTTGTTTTTTCATCATCATCATCATCATTATTATACAAGTAATGGGTCAAATTGCTGAATGAAAAGGAAAGGAAATAGATGGATGTTACTTTTAATATGTTTATGAAAGCAAATCTTTCCTGTGATGTTTTCGGTATAAAATAATGAATACCAAAGAGCTGAAATAATTTGAAAACAAATTAAATTAATTGAAAGACATGTAAATTATACCGCTTTAAGGCCACATTTGTCCCGTTTCACAGCAGCAAAAAGGCCGAATACAGTTTGGAACATGACAATTCCACCATGTACAATGAGAGCGTACACAAGTGCGGACAGAAGAAATCCGAATTTGACGTTATTGTACTCAACTCTGTTGAAGAGTGTCACTACTTCATGACCAAAATAGCCGCTGGACATTCTTAATAGCATTCCATTAATGAACACTGTTGCCCCAATGAGCTGGAAAGAAAAAAAGATAAGCATTCACATATTATTATTGTTATTTGCTTTCTAAGTATCAACTTGGTTAGAACGAGTGTACTTATTGTCCACCTTAAACAACATTAAATTCATACCCTTTGCAACATCTCATATTTGAATACAACATAAGAAAGCGTTGTAGCCTTTAGTTTATTCAATACCCCTGTAATAATGACTGTCATGAACAAAATACCTATAGTTTGCGTCAATGTACCCTTAACATTATCTTTAATTCTATCTTCGTGGGGTTGTTTCTTTTACTTGAACAAATATTCTGACAGTTTATGTTGTTAGCATATAAATAGCAAACAGCCAATAATACACAACGATATATGTGTCTTTATCACGGTTGCTCTATCTTATTAAAACAATTATCCATAAATTTACAGCAGCCGTGTATTACATGATATTATAAAAGTCTTGATTATCCAATGAAAATCGAGGTTACAAACGTAAAGCATTTTCAAAAATATACAATGTACTTATTATTAAAACGATACTTACAAACATAATACAGCATAGAAACCCAACGACACTCTTGCTACATTTATACCTCGCCATCTGAAAAACACGAGTTTAAATTGAAAATTAAAAGTAATCTAAACCTTCTTTTCATTAAAAATCAAATATTGAGCAGTTGATAACTTTAGAGTTTTATAATTTTAGTAATTATTGTCACACGCCTATGTACAACTCCGTTGAATATTGTTCCAGAAAAAGATGTTTAATTAAATAAAAAAACAAGTTCCAAGAGTAGATTCAGCATGTACAACTGACCTGGCTACATAATTATGTACGAATAATATTAAATAAAAATAAGATATAGTCGTTTTCAAGCGCTCCGTGATAATATTAGGCAAGATATAGTCGTTTTCAAGCGCTCCGTGATAATATTAGGCAAGATATAGTCGTTTCAAGCGCTCATGATAATATAAGACAAGATTAAGTCGTTTTAGGCGTTCCATGATAATAGACAAGAAATAGTCATTTCAAGCGCTCCATGGTGATATTAGACAACATATAGCCGTTCCGAGCGCTCTTTGATAATAATAGACAAGATATAGTCTTTTGAAGAGCTCTTTGATAATATTAGACAAGATATAGTCGTTTCAAGCGCTCCAAACTTATTATCACGATTTCAGTTAGGAACCAATATCATTAATTATATTATTACTTTCAATAACAAGAAAGTTTAACAAAGTTTATAATTTTCTAAAAATTACCTTCTTGTTTTTTATTTACTTTCTTGTTTCTATCCACTTCCATTGACCATACACGGTTTCCTGTTCGTTTCGACAGATTTAATAAATTGTAGTACTGCCAATTCCATGCTATAAACACATGTAGTAGCAATAATCATATAGCGTAATGCTAAATATTATAGCTTTTGTTTGCCATAACAAAAGTCAATTATGAAAAATCAGAGCAGAACGCATTAGATTTCACTTGTATTATTTTTATGTTTCATTTTTTTTCAGATATTTCACAACTGAGTATTTATTGAGATAATAATATAAGAATACATTTTAATGTTCTTACTGTTAAAAACCGTACTGGTTTGGTTATATAGATCTTTAATGTACTGTAGCACCAATTCTGCTTGAACTTCGTCGCCGTAAAAACGCAGAAGATCTAATATTTATATAATAGAAATAGAATGTACTTCCATTCATTAAAGGGACTCCAATAAGGTTTTTTGACATGGCGGGACTGGAAACAATATACAAAGATTAATATATTCCATTTGATGTAGGTAAAGACCAATAGCTAGAATTTAAAGTTTCTGATCATTCGCTCACTCCGCTCAGTTGGTTATACCACTGACTGTCACTCCTGAAGTTCCGGGTTCGATCCTGGGTAACACCCTTGGGATTTTTCAGAAACACTTTCAGTGTTTCAATCTAACTAGAGGTTTACTGGTACGAAACCCAGGTTATACTCGCATGTATCAGTGGTATACACTGGGCATGTAAAATAACCAAGGAATCTATTCAATAAGAGCACCCGCGCAGTCTGATCAGGAGCCATGCTGTTCGCTATCAGTTTCTCTACTTGTAATAGGGTTGGTAAGCGAACAGCATGGATCCTGATCAGACTGCGCGGAGGCGCAGGCTGGTCTGGATCCATGCTGGTCTCAAACGCACTATGTTGGTTTTGTTGTGACGCGGCTCAATTATCATTTTCAATAACCAATGATACCTTTCTTGAACTTCAGTATTTCACGGGTTAAAAACTGACAACATCTTGTATACAGTTTACTGGTATTTAAGATGAAATCACCAAGTACTGAATCGATGGAAGGGCTTATGTATTTTTTCAATCAATTCTTGCTACACAAAGTAAAGAGCCCAGATGTTATATAATTTTGTAGACTCTTACAATCAACAAACAATCACATAAGCTAAAAACAAATGTTATGTCCACACATGTTGTTTTGAATTTCATCCGCTAAGAAAGTATGTATACCGCTAAATGATCTAAATGATTGTTTCGTAGAATGAGTAATTGGATTTCCTCGTGAGCCATTTTATAAAGGGCAGATACGCAACTTACTTCCAGAAAGTTAACTTCCTAGATGTTTACTGGTACGAAACCCAGGTAATACTCGCATGTGTCAGTGCTATACACTGGGCATGTAAAAGAACCAAGGAATCTATTCAATAAGAGCTGGGAACTGGTTCCCGGATTCCCTTGTATCTCTAGCTGTCTCTAGAGTCTGCTTAGGTAAGGTCACTACTGGAAATAAGTGCTTGCACTTTCGTAGGTTATCCTTGACCGTCCGCTCTAAAGAAAATCAATCAATCAATCAATCAAAGTAAGTGGCCTTTACAGGATACTCGTCAATACCTTAAATATAGGTGGGGCACATACTCCAAGGCTATCTCCATGCTCCAATAAAACTGTGGAGTCCCTACATTACATTTGGCAGTGCCAATGTGAATCGAAACCGATCCAATTATTTTTATGTTTTGGATTGGACAAGGTTTCTCAGATACTCTGAACAGTTCTGATAACACATCATACGCATATATGAATGCAAAATAGGAAATAAAACACTTTGTTTTCTTCAGATGTTTATTAATAAAACTACAAATAACTAACAAATAAACATTACAACAATTTGTAGAAAAGAATCACAGACAATAAATGTAATTTGACACATGGGTGATATTTGCTTTGATTTGATGTGGGTTATTTCATACTTATTATTTCTATTTTGATAATACAAAATGTTTTAATTATTACGTTTACATTAGAGAGTGATTTTATAACATAATTTTCGGGGATATTAGGGAATGCTGTAAAAGTTATATTTTACACTTTCACATATTCCCCGAGTTCATTTTTCTACTCACAAAAAATATACATCATCATTAGTAGCTAAAGTTTGAGAAACGTAGAATGTAGTTAATTAACTAATACACTTTTATTGTCATCTTAAAGTTAAAGGTTCTCTAATAGTGAGAAATTAACCCTTTTAATGCCCTTCTTTAATCGTTCAGTTTTTTTATATTGATAACTTCACCAGGTAATATAAATTACATTTTGAGACGAGGCTAGAGCTTAAGTTTTGGTATGGTGAATTTTATGAGTATACGTATATTATCAAGAAATCAACGAACGAAAAACCTCATTTTTTGTCCGGAAACTGGTTCTCAACCAGTACAGACTTTATAACGATTTTACATAAGATTTTAAACATAATTACTGGATTACTAGATATATCTTAAACTTACAGGAATGGGAAATATTATAGTATAGTCATTTTCAATTTTTAATTAATAACAACTTCTCCTCTTAGATTCTCAGCTCCTTAACACTGGCTACGTTATCTTGGAAATAATTTCAAAACGTATACAAAATAACAAGGACGTCAATAATTGAATATTTCAATATTTCACATGAAAGACAAGCATGTCTTAACATTTTCTTTGAAAAAAATATGTACATGTAGATATATATTTAGATAAAAGAATCATTCAACAACAACAACAACAATAATAATAACAAAAGGTTCTGTACAGTACCTTATTTGATTTATAGATATCAGTTTGAAAAACAAAAACAGTCCATTGAATGTTAAAATATGTGTCAATACACTGACATTTGAATGCAGCAGTACTTTTTTGATAATCAAACTTTATTTTGTTTTGAACTTGTTGCATGCTACTTTCGCGTCAGAGTAAACAAAGTGATTGAAGCATGAAGTCAAAGTGTTTTTTTTTCTATCTAAAACAAAGTCATGATAATGTGTAAATGTGTACGAAGTAGGTAGAACAAGTATTTACAAAATGTCTGTGCTATTTGTACTGTTGAAATAAATAATAAATTATTCTTTTTTGGTTTAAAGTTAGTTTTACATTCAAACGGTTGAATTGGCATTTAAGGTTGTAACTCGGCCGTCAGCAGAGTTGGTCACTTGTTTGCATGGTTTGGTGAATTGTCTTTTAATATTTAAACATTGATTTCCACAGAAAATTTAGAGTTACAGGAGAAAATTTTACTTTAATAACGTTTTTTTTTTTTCCCCTTTTGTTTTTTCCCGACAGCGCCCGAAAAAAAAACAATCACAAATAATGTAATTTTTGGTATGGTTACCCCTCAAAATTTTTGGAAACATTCGTTACAAAACTTTTGGCCCATGGTGGTTTACGAAATTTTAAAATTTTTTGCTTTTTTTAGGTAGACCCTTTTAAAAAATATAGACAACATGTTTTTTTGGCATTAGAAATTTCCACCAAATAAACAATAAAATTTCCAAATTGAATAAAAGGCGGGGGCGGGGGGGAAATAAGAGATTTTGGCCCCTTTCAAATTTTTCTTTTAGTTTTCATTTAAACCAAAGGCTGAAATTTTTTAACGGGGTTTTTTTTGTTAAACCCCAAAAGTTCCAAATAAACCCCCCCCCACTTTCTTTAAATTATTAAAGGAATTTTTGGGCCCTAAACTTTAAAAATTGAAAATTTTGTGTTGAAATAAAAGAAAAAGACTACAGGCACTGATTTTTAAAACCCACCTAAGGAAAAGGTTTTAGTAATCACATATCTAATCTCCAGTAATTCATGGCAAAATGAAAAAAATTGTCATTAAAACTATGAACACTTACATGCCGATGTAAGGTGGTGGTTGTGCATGTTTTTCACCAGCATTGCTGTAAATATACATATAGGTCAGTTAATGTTTGTATCTTATGACAATCTATTAAGCATTTACCTTCCAGAATATATTCAGGTTTTGTACTCATTTTTCAATGTTCTTTCGCATTTTTTTATTTTTTTTTATTTTCTTACTTTTATTTAATTATCATTTATTATTTATTTATCTTTTCATTTATTTATTTTCATTTTTATTGTAATTTGATTTGTTATTTGTTTTACTAGTATACATTGATTAATTAGATTAAAGCCAATCAGTCCTATACTTTCCAAACGAAAACTTGCCTCGCCCAATTAGTCATGTATATAGTGGGAGCAATGGGTCCCGGGACGTCGGGTTTGTATTGCAGCAACGTTTTTTCATTGATTTATGATTAACGTTTCATTATACTATGTCGTTTTTAAAGAAAAAGAGTAGAGTTTGAAATGATTTTGATCGCTGTGTGACAGGTGCAATTCACGGTAACAAGTATATTCTTTTAAGTACTAATGCTATCAAATGATGATATAAATATTGATAATAGGGATAAATGCAAATAATGAAATAATTCACCAGAAACTCACGCATGTCTGATCCTGTTCTTAGTCTGATCTAACAACATACACGACATAACAATCGCAGCAACCTAACATAGGGAAAAATATAGAAATATTTAATATCAAACTTATACTTTCAATCATGTTAACAAGAGCTGAAACATAATTAAATCGATTCCACAAAAGAGATAAATGTTTTCAGTGTTTATCAAAACAAATGGTCGGATGAGAAATTTAGCCGGCTAAAATACAAATGCTTTAAACTTATTTATTTAAGCTCGATTGCGGAACAAGTTCTTGCAACTTATATTAACCAATTTCGAGTTCGCTTCCTGGAACCAGCCGGTACTGGTGTCATATGAAGAAACTTGGTCGTGACCAATGATCCACGGGTTGAGAGGCAGACACATTAACCACTAGGCAGCTGCTCCCCTTGATAAACAACATAAAGACATACAAGAGCCAAGTTCGAACCGGATGATTCTCCCCGAATAGGTCTTTGACACAGGAAGTAACCTCTTATAGTTTTGTAAAAGTTCAAAGTGCAATAATTCCGGAATAAGGCAAGGCAGAGTAACTGTTCTTTACACTGGACTTCTAATAAATGAGATCAGTACATGTATCTACCTACAAAGTTTCTTGTTGATACCTGTTATTGTTTC